TTCATTTGGTGCTTGGCACTTAAGGAGACTATCAACATTTCAATAGTTCAAGCTAATTCCTTAGTAATTTCCTTGATTTAATTTGGTGTTTGGTGCTTAAGGAGATTTTCAAATAAGCTTCACTATTAATGGAAAGTTGAAAAATTATAAGATGCGACACAATCAAAAGATTTTAAGATGTGATCAGAAGCAAAAGGGTTATGCACAGAAGCATTATAAATGCAAACTGTAGCTTAATGCAGATACCTCAAGTGTGACTAGAGCACATGCTTGGTATATAGGAACTATTACATTTATGTTGAAGTCAACAGGTTCATGAACATGCAGACCTAAAATTACCACTTGCATTTTCAGGAATGCCCAGCAAATTCTATATAAATTCTATTTAAAATCTCCTGTACTTATAATTTTATCATTTGCAAAACATATTTGTAAGATGGGGAAGTGGACTTTAAAAACAAAGAATGGAACAGGAAATCTGTAAGCAGTAAGAAACAGAAAGCAGAGAAGAAGATTAGGAGTCAATCTTTTAGAGACCAGGCCCATAACTGCCAGCAACACTGTCCTCACAGTCTGTAAGACAAGGCCTTACATTTAAGGACTAATCAGATGGACAAGATTCAATGAAAGAGCAGGCCTTAGCTGCCCTAAACCAGTTTTAATCAGTTTTATAATCCTCTTGTCAATGAATTTCTGCTTACAATACATTCAGAAGATGTTTTGTAACACCTTACTTGAGGGGGTACAATTTAGTAACTCTACTCATGAACAAATGTAGTAACTGCATGAAATACATGAGCCGTTCTGACTGATTGATGATGGACGAACATTGGAGCAGTATGTAACTAACACTATTTCTGGTTAATTAATACTTTAAGTAAGAAGAGTACTATGACATTTGTGCCCCCTCACAGAGTGTTACCAGATATTTTTGTATTTAAGAAAGTTATTGTCAGAAATACTACAACAGAGTAGTGGAAATGTGCTGTTTTTCATTGCTATAAAATGCTGGGAGGCAGGAAATGTGTCTATGACAGAGTGGCCCCAGAGTAAGGACCTTAACCCCGAGTGTCCCCCAGCAGCTAACTGACCTGGCGCTCTGATCCTTACTTGTGTGTTGCTAAATAAGTAAATGTAAGTGAAATATAGAAAATGGTTCAGTGAAGCTGGCTGATATCTGTGTAAGACCGTTTGATTGCTTCCAGACTCGAACTGTAGGTATCCAGAATACAGGGCCGACTTCAAGAATGAAAAGCACCTTAAGACCCACCTTTCCTCACTTATTCCAGACACTAAATTAAACCCACCGTCCAAACAATGTTGAGATAAGCAACTCATTTAACGTTGATAATAATGATCCATGTTAGGCAGGATAAATGTATAGATGGTACCTCTTTAAATGTGGCTCTGCGTTAGTTGCCGTGGTTCCTGGGATATGGTCGACTTTGATCCCTAGTTGTTCAATCCTCATGTTTCTAAGAAAGACATTTCCAGCAGGTATAGGGGGAGTGTGCACAGGCACTGGAGTGGCTGTCTATCTACACCTCGCTCTGAGGTATGACAAATTGCTATGAATTCTCCACAAAGCCCATGTAGAAGGATGAAAGACTTACTGGTGCATCCTCATTAGCTCAGGAACACTAACACTGTCCGGTGAGGTGCTTTGCCACGCCTGATTTACCCTGCAATTCAACATGTAAACAAAGTGTTTATCGGCTCTCCTGACGCTGTGGGAAACGGTCTCAGTAAGTCCACTGAGCAAAACATTAAGAATAAAGAGCTGTTATTTTCCAAAATGAAGTTTTGTATAGTTATTAAGCTGCCATTAGCGGCCGTGATGACCTCACAATCCCGTGCTCATTAAGACGCCGTCTCTAGCTTTGGAGCTTTTTTGTAAGTCGTCTTCTCAGTGTGTCTGCATGTACGTGCATACGCATGAGACAGTGTCTCTTACTGTTCTTTTTCTCCATATTAAAACAATATAATCTCTTTTTTGCACTTTTTGTCCCCTCTGAATTTTCTTATTTCTTTTATCATTAAAATACAGTTTTGGGTAATAAGACTGATTTTTTTTGGCTTGTGGTCTGATGGGCATTTTTATTTATCTCTTTTTTTAAGAAAACTATCAATCTGGAAGGAAATATTATAACCGTGCTCTGCGAAGCTGGAATAAGGACCCTTTGTTCCGAATAGCCATGGGCACAAGTAATAAAAGGAGAAGAAGACCCAATATGGAGCTGTTCAGAAATGTGCCTGTTGTCTGACATCTTGCTGCTCTCAGACTTCTGCCTTCAGAAAAACTAGTTAATGAGGACTGTGGTGATCGATGCATGATGGCATTTACTGTGCTGTAGATTTATCTTCACTAGGGCTTTTTCTCAATTCCAAACTCAATTCCAAGAAGATGCAGTGTTTTGTTCATAGCATGCACACGGAGTGTGTTGGAGCCTATGACGGTTTAAGACAGTGTTCTTGCAGCCCAATGGAAGGTACACAGCTGCTTTCTGCAAAGAAAAAAAATCTGTTTTTCAGTTTTATAAAATTGTCTACAGAACATGAAAATCTAATTAGTCTTTTTATGAGGCACTGTTGTGCCACTGATGAACTACCATTCCCAGCATGCATTTGAATGTGAATTTACATTGTGTCTTAGTTCAAATATACATTTTACTTTATGAACCCAAATAGTAATCTCTCACTGCCTTAGACATGAAGCATAACACTTTACTGGATAAGCAGTTGAAAAATGGATGAACAGAAAAATAATACTAGCCTTCACGGATGATGTTGGTAATGATGTAAAGACCTTTTGAAAAGTTTTTGTCAAAATTATATCACAGTATTTGTCATTGTGATGTGATGCCCACATTTTACATAATTGCATATCCAATACAGGGTCGCAGTAAGCAAGGACTCTATCCAAACAACATAGGATGTGACACTTTGAATCCTACCTCCATTCTGTGTATCGAGTTTGGATATTTTCCCTGTATCACGCATTTCCTCCCGCTATCCAGATATGCAGTTAGGCTAATTAGCATCTCTGTACAGCCCATTGTGTTTGATCAGTGATGGACTGACATCCGGTGGTGGGTGTATCCCTGCTTTGTGCCGTATGTCACCAGGGATAGGCTCCCAGCCCCCCCTACACAGGATAGTGACTGGATGATGGATAGATGAAATATTAATGCTTAGTCAGTGACATGGATTTTCAGCCTGCCTGGGTTTTTATGTGTCATTGTGACACCTTGCAGAATCTGAAAATAATTCAGCCTACTTAAGTGGCACCGTTTGCCAATCGGCTAATAACTACACAGGTCTTGGGTCATGTCATTTTCTTTGAGCTTTTCCAAGATGGGGTTGGTTCCCCCTTTGCTATATTTTAGGGGATCACAGACAGACTGAAGCGTATTACAGGTCATAAGGATCACGGGGCTGCAGTGACCCCTGGACATGGTGCTCCTCCATAAGTAGATACGGACACATAGTCTTATACTTTCACTGGGTTTCTTTGTATCCTGTTCGATCAGTCAAAGCAGCCACCCACTGGTTTTAATCATCAGCTCGCAGCTTTCAATTGTGAAAGAAATCAAGAGAAGACAACAGTGTAGAGGCTAGGGGAGAAACGATTTACTCTTGCGCACCTAAGCGAGTGGAAGAAGAATGAAATTAATGATGTTGAATTAACATAAAAGAGAAGCGATGTCCTATAAAGAAGACTGATGTGGCATTAAAAATGAAGAAATGCTGTTTGCATTTCAGATAGAAGATGAACAGGCACAGACACAGCAGAAAGCAAGTGAATGACAGAAGGAGAACCAAGGAAGGGAGAAGTAGTGAAATTAGTGAAGAAGAACGAAAAGAAACACAATGAAATGGAAAGAGAAAGGAATTCCTTTCCTGTTTCCCTAGGATGAGAGCAAACTGGATATGGACAGCAAGAAGAGCATGATAAACTTTCATGACTTTTCTCTGTGATGTTCAGGGGTGTCAGTCAACTCACAGGTGGGGAAACATAATGGTTGATTTGGACTACAAAAAACACTCAGTCACCTGAACTGTAGGGCACAGTGGCTGCCTATGATGTCAAATGGGCAGCTCTTTCCAGTACTGCTAAAATGTTCTTTATGTTCTGTCAGTGGAGACACGGACGCATAGTTCTGCAAAGCTAATGCCCCCGGGCTGCTCAGACATCTGCAGTGTGCTGGCTACGATTTGCATAGCAGAATAGCTGGAGAGATCCTGATAGTGAAAACCTACAGCACTATGGGGAGCCAGCTGAAGAGTGTGACCCATGTGGACCCAGAGCTCGGGAGGGCGGGACCCCTTAGGCAATCTGAAATCAAAAAGCTCTGTCTTCTCACTTTGACTGATTTTACATTTTACATTCTTACATTTTGGGCACCCAACGGGGCTGCCTGTGGCGTACTGGGTAGAGAAGTGATGGTGAAGATGGAGTTACGATCGAAGTGTTGTTTATATAAAACCTAGAGAGAACTGTTTGACTTCTGAGATTCAGATCGAGCTCTAGGTATACAGGTATATGGCAGTGATAGAAAGGAGAAAAGTATAATTAAATGCCTTGAAACAGAGAAAAACAAATTATTCAATAACAACAATCATGGAAAAAAGTTTTCCAGGATGGAGTGAAGGTCTTTGGCAGGAGAATATTAATTGAATTAATATGTTAAAAGAATTACTTCATTGTTTTTTTATTGTGTTACACCTGCTTACCAGTTTAGCTCCAAATACCAAACTGGTCACATTGATTTCAGCAATCGTCAACGCAGTCGATCATTTTTATAACAACGATGATATAATGTTATATATTTATAAGCAAGAACTGCTGTTGCTTGAGACAAAGCACTTTTTGACAAGATGATTTTATTTTAAAACTAGTGTGTCTGACGAACGTCTTACATTCATAAGGTGTCATCTGTACATCTTAAAAAAAGATGAAAATGTTATGTACAGTTTACATCCAACTGAATGATACCCGTTTCCTGCACGCACGCCTTATTTTCATTTGATTTGTATACATTTTTTGTAAATTCTTTAATACTCATCTTGTAATAACTTTGTTCTGTGGTCGAGTAAGGTTTATAAAAACTGAGAATAGTTTATTATTCATACAAAGAACTCCCTGATGGTCGCTCTATCCTAATTTACGAATGAAAATATATCTTTCGTTCTTCGTTGATGCATTTAATTATTACAAACCCAAAGCTCCTTCATAAACGTGCGGATCACAACAGAATATAAATCCTCCCTTAACCGCTCAGATTTCCTGATTCAATTTACCTCACATGCCTCGTAGCTTCTCCACGTTACATTCCTTACAAAGCCTTACAAAGAGAAACAAACCAATAAGAAAAAGGCGGCTGCGGGCAGAAGCGCCGGCAGAATATTAACGCCTCATCCTGCTCATTCATGCAAGCGGTCCTGAAACTCCATAGCCCTGCGTCTTACATGTTTTGCATTAACCAAACTCTTATTGCATATGAATATAAAAGTTTTGTTTGGTAAAGTCCGGCAGGGAAAAATAAGCAAACAAACAAACAAATAAATAAATAAATAGAAGGAAAGAAATTATAATAACACAGTTACAATCGTTATCATGGTAATATTTTTTTCTTCACATTAGGCTTATCATAGTTGCATTTGGGAAAATGTGCTTAAACTCATTAAAACCAAATTTACGCGTGTCTGTATATTTGGCAGCGTTTCGCAGGGCAGTGTTTGGAGGGCGCTTACATAGGCTATTTGGCATTCCTCATAATAATGCATCAAAACTGTATACCTTTCCTTGTATTGCACACTTTCTCTCAGGAAATAAGGCATTATGATGCTTGACTTCCGTAAGGCTTGCACCATTTACTGGAATTTATGTCACAGACACCTTGTACCCATCGACAACATTAGGCTAATAGGATTATATTAATTGATAGACTGCCTGCAGAAAACACTAATTTGCTTCAATGCCATCTTCCATTTACATAAAATCGGCCACTTATGTCGAGTGATTATAATCACTAATGTCAATGAACCTGATGCGTTTTCTTGACCTTACAATAGTGCGTATTGACTTAAAACTTTAGAATAAATCAATAACTCTTAACCATTAAGAAGCAATGCTTTAAACAGACATCAACATATCCGTCCCACGGATAAGCTACAGAGAGTTTTTCCTAGATCTATTATCACAATAATACGACATCACCATGTGCCTGTCATAACAACAACTTTAAATATAACTGGACAATATCATTTTACGAATGGTTTTGGACAATTAGCCTGCACAATTATTGTAAACCATTGGGAGTGAATGGTGTTATCCTGTCCAGAGAAATATCTGCATCACAGTCATCCAAGTCGCACACGGAATCGGTGGCAATTTCATTATGATGTGAGAACTGGGATATCCTATCGAAAGTGTCCTCGTTGTCAATACACTCCACCACGTTAGGGATCATGTTCACATAGGCAGTCACGATTTCTTTATGAAACAAAGTGTCTTGATTGTAAGAAACGAGTTCATTACTTATATTCACAGTTTCGACGGGCGTGCTGGAACAGAGATGACGGCAACCCAGTAGATTAGCGAAGGCTTTTCGGAAGTCAGCGTTGAAAGCATAAATAATTGGATTCAGGGATGAATTGGTCCATCCGAACCACACGAAAACGTCGAAAGTCGTCTCGCTTACGCAGGGAAGACCGGCTTTCTGGTCGGCAGATGGCCTGTCACAGAAGGGCACCATGCAGTTTAAAATGAAAAAAGGTAACCAGCAGCACACGAATACGCCCATTATCACTGATAAAGTTTTTAGGACTTTGGTTTCCCTCTTGATGGATGTTTTCAGTGTGTTGTGGTGCTGACACTCGAGTCTGTTGCTTCTGCAACTTTGTGCGTGCTCCGCTGCCCTCTCTAGAGATGCAATCCTTCGGATCTGGATCTGAGCTATACGGTATATTCTGGTATAAGTCACGATCATGATGGCCACAGGGATGTAAAAGCTTATCAAAGACGAGGAAATAGCGTACTCTCTGTTCAGGCTGGAGTCGCAGTTTTCCGCCTTTTCCACCGACGCGCTGTAATTGGTGCCGGTTACCTCATCTTTGGCTTTATGCCAGTTGAGTTGTACCGGTATGAATGAAATTAAAATGGACAGCGTCCATGTCACACTTATCATAACAAAGGCCACTCTCTGAGTCATTTTTCTCTCGTATCGGAAGGGGCTTGATATGGCCCAGTACCTGTCCACGCTGATGATGCAGAGGTTGAGGATAGAAGCGGTGGAGCACATAATGTCAAAAGCGACCCAGATGTTGCAGAAACTGCCGAAGGGCCAGTAGCCCGCGATCTCAGCGACAGCCTTCCAGGGCATGACGAGCACGGCGACAAACAGATCCGACACAGCGAGAGAGACAATGAAAATGTTGGTAACTTTAGTTCGCAAGTGCCTGAACTTGATTACCGCCGAGCAGACCAAAATGTTCCCCAGCAGCGTCCACAGGATGAGGAGGGAGAGTAAAGACCCAGTCAGTGTCCGTATTATCAGCTGTTTTTTGTCATCCGATGTCGCCTCCAACTCGGTCGTGTTCCACATTATTTCTCCGAAAGAAAACGGAACGGACTGACTTTCGTGTGCTGATGCACCTGATCAAGTTGTAAAGAGACACATTGTCCCATGCGGGCTTAACAAATGGGGACGGACGACTTACCGAGTGCCGTTTTCTCATCCTCTAACATATTAAAACTAAAAAGGCATCTTTGCTTAAAAAAGCAAACTACAATCCTACCGGCGAACACAAAGCCGGCGGGGGTAAGTTGCACGCCAAAGAAATAAAGGCACCTTGTCAGGGAGGAGCGCATGGCGATGCTTTGCCTGTCCTGTGCCCAGCATTGCGATATAACGCAGGACATCAGCTATGTAACTGTCCAAGTGAGCTATTTTTGAGACAACGGAAGGAAAGGGGGGGGGGGGGTCTGAAGCGTTTAAATTCCCCTCCCCCACCCTGCATCAGGATGCGCACCTAGACTTAACATTAAAATCAGGTAAAACAAGTAATCCAAGTCATACATCTCTAAATGGAATATTTTATAGCATATTATGATATGCATAATGTATACAGAGTTCTTCGGGGCAGTGTTTTGTAGTGCCTTTTATTTTTTAAAACCGTAACATATTTAAATCATGCTTTCGTTCGTTAGAAGGAATTATATGGAATTATATATTATACACGCTGACGAATGTGCAACACATTATTATTTTTAGCACATGGTTTCGTAAATTCTGGGAGCAAGGTATGATTTATCAACTTACGTCGAACAACTCAGTTGAACTAGAAGTAACTTAATTAATAGGCGTCGTCCAATCCTGGACTCAGGCTTGCATGATAATATGTACAATACGTACAATACGCTTGTGATGGGCTGTTTTAATATGGGAGGCGCTGTCACTGGTGCTGAACCACGTGATTCGTTTTAAATAATGGCAGGTCTATATGAGTCATTTCATTCAGTGAGGAGTTCGCCTATGAACCAGCTGCAAAAATAAACATGTACATTAATATAGTAGTATTTTTATATATTTTTTATACGTGTTGGGTAATATTAAACATTCTGCAGGGATAACACTTATTTAATAATAATAATAATAAAGACAGGTACTGAATACCCTTCGGGATGGACGTACGCTCACATTAAGAGTATCCAAATCTTACCAATATGTTACGTAACATACGCTTGTACTAAAAAAAACATATATTATTGGGGAAGGCGAAAAAACTAATGTTCTTGTCAAACTGTTTAGACTATTGATAAGCGATATTCAGAAGCTTAACGAGACTTGATAAGTGAAATGAAACGACATTACATTGCAAATCTTGCACGACTTTAACAAACATCAAGGTGTCATTTGTTGACACGATTGAAATCAAACGGAGTCTCGATACACGATAAGCACACCGCCGCACAGGGGGAAGATTGTGAAAGAGGTGAGCAAATGCCGTGAGTGCCCTCTTGGGACAAAGGAGTCGCATCATTCATTTATTATAAATATATTTTTTTGCCTTTTCCGAACAACTGTGAAAATTGTGGATGCTCTGTAGCGATCCATAGGTTTAACCCAGAAAAACCTGGTATTCTGGATGTCACATAAATATTTGACGTGGAGAAAATTTCCTGTCTATTCCTGGCTGTTAGGTTGCAGTTTGCGGCTCCCTCCCGTGAGGGGAATGGAAATGGGGATCAGCTCAAGTGTACCCAAGTGAATGGAGGAGGCCTATTTTATCTAATCCCTTGGACAACAGTACTAATAAATAAAAAAATCCAAGTTGTTATGAGTTGCCTTAACCTAATGTCTTAAAAAAGACACCAATGGAAAATGGCATATCTGGAGTTCAAAGGCTGAATCCACCTAGTAAACAAACAGGCCTACTTTCTGGCATATGAACACATGCAAGTCATTGATACATCTTTAAGATAATATATCCCAGGATGGAGGATTGCTGTACAATCATTCCTTAAATCTTATCAATATCTACGGGATGGCAAAACAGCACCGAGCATGTTTTTGGACTGTGGAGGAACTGGAGTATCCAGAGGAACCCCCCCCCCCCTCCCCCAAAGACACAGAGAGAACATGCAAACTCCACACATACTGAGCCAGGGCAGAGACTTGACCCCCAGTCCTAGAGCTAGGATCAACAGTGTTTACCACTATGCCACCACATCACCTTTCTAATGCTATACATTTTAATGAATACTACTGTGTATGTATTAAAATGTACTATGTAAACTACATGAGAGTCTTGCAACTGAGTGTGATCTGAATGTTCTGCCAATACATTTCAAGGTCATGGTGATGTGCTTGTGATGGGATATAACATTGTGAAATGTCCTGGAAGTTTCTAGTACTTGTACTTTATTAAATAGCAGAGTATCTGGCTGAAATAACTTGCACAGCAGTGCCACCACATCTGAGGGTGTTTTTACAGGCCTTCCAAATAGCAAAGCCCAAAAAGAAGAGTACGAGTCCATGTCCCCACCTAGTGGTGAAAATAATCATCTGCGAGAACTGCGAGAAGACAACTGTCCCGGTCTGCTTTTAATTGCATGAAATTCTCAAATTCTTACACTTTATATTGTTTATGAGGGCAAGTAATGTGCCTTTACTAAAGGAGGTAAAGAGAAATTATGATATTTGATATTTGAGCATGGTCCAAGATGTTTTCAATAGGCATTTCTTGGCTCAATGCATATCATTGTGAACATAGAAGATAAATGTTTTTCATTGATGAATAAAGCAACTTTTCCTCAGACACATATCATAGAGCACAGAGGCTTCCCCTTCGTATAACGTTTAAGATTGAATAGCTTAAATTATTTTTATTTTTTGTGTAGCTGTGTCTGGGATCACTGGCCCCAAACAGAAACCACTTAAACCAGAATTAGGAAATAATTATACCAGAGACAGAACCAGGAGGGATAAACCAGTGTGGAGTGAGCACAGTGCTCTGTGAATTATGTGAAATGAGCCAGGAGTTAATCAGAGACCCAAATGCCCCTAAATTAGAATGAGTTCAAACAGAGGATTCATGTACAACCAATATGACAAATCTCGAAATCTAATGTTTTATTCAAACGTCCAATATATCACTGGACTGTCAAATTACTTGTCAGAGAAGTAAAATAAGTGAATAATCAGTAAAACAGAAATTGAGAAAAATAAAACCATTGCAGTGAGAGAAGGCTAATATTAAAAACATAAAGTCTCACAAGGATAATACCACCAGATTAGGGTTGTAATATATTTTTCAAAACCTTGATGAACCAAATAAAGCAGTAGCAACGTCAATATTCATCATTTCATTGCAAAATCAACGGAACATCTCCCCGGTCCAAGCTGGCGATGCAAGTGGAGCTGCGCAGGCACTCTCAGTGGTGGAGAGAAGACCTCAAGTAGATGGGATGTAACTCTCTGCAGTGGAAATCTGACCATGGGAATGTCCACAGTGGGCTCTGGAATCATGAGTTCTGCTGGTTCCCTGCTCTGATGGGGGCTCACAGCTGAAGCTCACAAAGTGGGCTTAGACATGAGGCAGTCTTCCTCTTGGAAAATGGGGCAACAAGGTGTTCCCCACAGGCGAGGTCCCAAACGTGTGTCCGCTGCCATATCCTATGAGGAGCCGTGCACTGGTGTGAATTTGAGAGAGTTACACGCCAACATCCAGATGGCCAAGCGGGGTTTAAAACGAACTGGAGGACCATGATCTTTGGTGGGAGGCTTGGAATAAAGCTAAATTCCCCAGCCCCCTCTAAACGATGAGATTTCAGCTTGACCAAGCTATTCTTCTCCAAGATGCTGTGGTCAGATAAAACCCCAAAATCCCCACCCACCGTCCATTTAGTCCTTTGTGGTTAAAGGAAGATGCATGACTACAATGAGAGATATGGTATGCAAAGGCTGGACTGCCAGTGGACGAAACTCATCTCTTCAGAAGCAGCAGAGCACAAACCAACTGTTCAATGACATTCTAACAGAAAATAACAATATGACCATAAAACTATGTAAAAAATAAACAGGCAAAATGATTCTTATCAAAGACAACATGTATGTAACAAGAGTACACATCTCATTGGTCGGCCACAGGCTTCAAGTGTCCCACAGGTTTACGTATTCAGTTCTAAGTCGCTATGTTTGAAACATCCTCACGATAAAAGATTACATAAAAAATGATGACGGCAGTACTATGCTAGCATTAACATTACAGGTAAAATTTGCGATAAGTGTACTTTCCAAAGCATCTTCATCAGCACAGAATTACAAGTTCACAAAAAATTGACAAGTGACTCGTTTTCGGTTTAGTCAATATTGACCAGTAGGGACTTTGTAAAAACAATGGTTTAGTTCAGTTGAGTTACGATAGTCCTTTATTTAGATATGATTTACTGTTGATTTATATTATACACAATATACATATATGCCTTTTTAGTTCTCACTTGAAGCCTTTGTCAGTGCGAGTTGGTAAGTTAGGTATCATGGTCATAAAGCTGTCATACATGCTTCATAAATGTTCTCTGACAGTACATAAAATTTAAAGCATCCACAACGATAAAATTGCATCTTCATCGCAACAAAACTCAGCCAGGACTTCTCTCCGATATTTGGAACTCACGCTATTTTAAAAATATCTTGTTAAACATCCATCCCATTATTTTTTTTTTTGTTTCTTGTTGTTGTCCATATGTGAAAGGCACTGTGCGTTAAAACAGCAAAAAAAATCTACATAATTGGGATCTCATGCAAAACATCACTTATTAAAATGGGAATCAAAGGTGACTGAGTGAAAAGAAATTCAAGTATATAACTTTACAGTCCAATCTACCATTTTCTGTTATTTTTTTGGTGGTGTTTCAGCGACTCATGCAGAAAAGAGAGCACCAAATGTGATCGTCCGTTTGTGACCGACACACCTTCCTTCTCACCCTACATGGTTTTCAACACTCTATAATGGTCTGAAACAACAGCATGTCATGTAGAATACCTTGATTCTTGACAGGACATGCTGCAGCAGGAGGACTCCTGTTTCCATGGTTCACACCCTAATATAGACATCAAAGAGGGCCCCGACGGAGTGCATGCGGTAGAAGAGGTTCACAGGCATGGCAATGTTCACCAAAGTGGTCCACATCTCAAAGCCAAAGGTCTCTTGCTCCAGCTCATTATCATACTGGGGTCGGCAGCCAAATGCTGGTATTAGCCACAGCTACAGAGACCATGGGGAAAGACAGAACAACACAATTAGCATTTATGCAAATACAGACACCAAACGATTCATTCGCAAACGTCCTGAAACAGTCTAGAAGAAAACTGCTGTGAAAATATAATTCAGTCTCAAAGATTTGGAAGATTAGAAAGCACAAGCCTGTGTGTGAAATTAGAGAGAGGATATTTTATCAGTGCAGTTAAGCTGACATGGCTGTAGAGCACCATGCTGTAAAGCAGGAACTTACAGAGACGTTGCAGAGGAGCAAGAAGATGGAGACGTTCTTCAGGGCCTCTTGTTTTACTCTCAGGAAATCAGGAGAAGGCCTTTCTGGATTGGGGCCTGTTGGGATATTGGGGTCGGGGGATGCATCTGCCTCCTGCTGTTCAAAGGCAGGATTCACAGCTCCATTTTGGGATGCATCTGGGGTGGTCACTGAGAAGACCTGTGAGGGAGGCTCAGTTGCTCCCTCCCCAGCAGAGCGATAGAGTGCCTCGATGATGAAGAGGTTCTGCACATACTTCTGAAGAACCATCAGAAGGGAGTATGTAAAGTTAGTCCAGCGGTAGCTCTCGTAAGTCGGGTTAGCCAAAACAGCCACAATACTGCACCAGGACAAGAGCCAGGCTCCCATGGACGTGGCAAAGAGTAGCTGTGCATCCAGCCCCCTTGGGGTGATCTGTAAGTTGTCCAATGGTGAATGGTCCATCCGGTAGAGCAGGAGGCCCACTATTGACGCTACGCTCATGGAAAAGAGCATGACAATGCCGTAGATATAAAACACTGAGATGGCCCAATCTCGTGTTTCCGTGTTTCCACCCATCTTGGAGAGGTAAATCACCAAGACTGCGATGGTGCTACAAATGGCAAGCATGCCCAGCACTGGGCCTATGATCACTGCCACAGGCTTGACTTTGGTTGTTCCTCGAGGGGTCTGGTGTATAAGGACCTGGCCGATGTTCATCCACATGCAAAAAAGTATGGCGGATACTATTACGTGGTATTCGACGTTGAACGGGTACAGATAGTAGACACTTTTAGTATATGCAATGCAGATGCCACTACTGCAGTTACAGTCAGGTGCATGGGCATCTGGTAAGAGAAAAATCAAAACATTATGTCAACTATTTAATCTCTACTGATTATACACATGCATATATACACAGCCAAGATACATTTATTTATGAACACCAAGCAAAATAAATAAATGTATTCAAGATATGCGGATGTAGTCAACTAAAAAAACACATTAGTTTCTTTAAGGCCACTTAAAATTAATAAATTGTTTTACATGACTCAAACTTCTAAAATATTGGTGAGTAGGGGATTTTATATTTTATATTTTTAGCGAAAAGACGATCGGCAACAGAGATATACTAAAACTAGAAAATTAAACTTTAATTTGTCAGTATCTCAACATTTTAAACTCTCAACAGTTCAAACAATTACAAAAGAGAAACTTTCAAAACAAATGCCTAGTCTAAGTGTTTAATGGTCTTGCCACAGAATGGCCCAATAAAAGCGTCCTCCTGACAATAGCAAAACAACAGCACTTCCATTGTTTCAAACAATAGAAGTGCTGTTGTTTGACATCAATGAGGGTCACTATTATTGGACCACCCTACAAGAGACTACTTGCTCACAGTGCACAGGATATCAGGATTTGGCACATTGACGATCTCTGACAGTTTTTGAGGTGAAAAAAACGGAAAATATAAAATATAAAAAAAATCGAGGCGGCACCAAAAAATTGAGGCGGGCGGCCATGTAAAACAATTTATTAATTTTAAGTGGCCTAATCATAGTTCTGTGAATGGATATTAACCGGAAAACAAAGTACAGTCGGACCTGGTTTATCGCGGTTAATCTGTTCCAGACTCTACCAAGATAAGTGAATTAGGTAGGATTCTTTATTTATAAATTGAATATTTTCGTAGTTACAGCATAGAACACCTGTTTACGACCTTCTAAATACGATTTTTAACATTATTAGAGCCCTCTAGACATGAAATTACACCCTTTAGTCACCATTACGGTTATGATTTCTGGACACGGAATCAGGATCGAAGGGTTTATTTAGAATCACTCCAAATGCAGGACGCAGGAACATGTAACATCAAAACGTCAATGACAGACCTGGGGTTACAGCCTCTGACGTGGACTTAAATACACCGGACGAATCAAACTGACAGAAAACAGCTGGTCACAAACGGGGTTACACACGTGGTTAATAAGGGGGCGTGGCACACAAGAGGATCGTACAGGCCGATCATGACAATTACACTCGTATTGCCCAATATATTAGACAAAATTGGAGAAAATAACACATATTAGACGTTACAAATTATTATTATCGGGTGTCAAGGCATTATTATTATTGTTCATTTAATTATGATACATCGCTTCCGATGCGTAGCGATGTATCATTTTCACTGTCTCGATCAACTTTTTAAATGAACATACAAAAAACCGTGATAGAGTAAAGCCGCGAGAGTCGAAGCGTGAAGGGACGACTGTACTGATTTTATTTACAAAAATTTTGAACTAAAAATTTAATAGTGAAAGAGGAAACGCATATTCATCAATGTGCTTGTTCTCCAAGCATAACCATTCCAGCATCACATTTTTCAAGAATATTACACTTTATTTTGTACTGTATATCCTGTGAATGATTTGTAAATGTCACTTTGCACTTGATTCATATAGATATATGATAACATCTTATGCTTTTGGTTAGAGATAAAGGAAAGGAGAATATACACACAGATGAGCCCACTCAGAGAATGAGGATCACTCCTGCAAACACAGGATCGTGTGAAGCCCAGCCAATAAGCTTAGGTCCTAAGGTTTACACAAGTTTAGAGAGCCCGAAGTCTAACAGCCTTTGATCAGTCTCAAGGACATTTCACCTGGGACCCAATGTGGTGGGGGGGGGGGGGGCTCGACCATCCTGTCTTCTCTGAGTAATCCTGATTTAAACTTTAAAACATTACTTTATTGTGAAATCTCAATAGGGGCCCAAAAGTAGGATAAGGTTGTCTTGCTATGTATCTAATATTAAAGCTAAAACTAACTATAAGGTGAGATTTAGTTGGATATTGCTCTAAAGCAAAGACACTGTTCCTTCCTCTCTTGGGACTCCCAGCCTGTAGAAGAAAGTCCCCTTTGTCCCTTACAAAGGTACATTTAACCTTTAGTTAGCTTTTGTACATCCATACCTAACCACAGCTGAGCTGAAAAAAGTGATTTTCTTACAGGTGAATGCATTACAATGAGGCCCTTTGCAAAACACTGCTCTGTTTTTTCACATAGTCGTTCAGGTTTACACCCCAATATGCTGAGAATGCTACTTTTAAATTTTTTTATGAAGTTATGCATGTTCTGAAAAAGCTGCTTTTTCTGCCTCTGCATTGTTACGCTCTTCTGGGCTGCAGGACCAGTAGGACACAGCGTAACTTGGTGCCAGTTTGCAGACTGGAGAACAGTCCCTCAAACTTCACGGCCTTGAAGACAGACCTCAATACGTATTTTTTTCAGGTGCAGCCCCCTGAGGTTCATGTCATATCCTGCTCGCCTCTGCCGCCCTGGCATTGCTGCTGTTAGTTAACGCTTCCCAGTGGTGAAATCCCCCTGTTTTTTTCCCCCAAATGGCCCTTTCCATGTACACAACACAGCGGGCCTCTCTTCAGCCTAAGCTGGCCTCTGGGAATCATGTGGAAGGTAAATCACTTCCTTCTGTGAGATGACCCCGCCAACTCCTCTGTTTAATTAACAGGATAAAAATAAATAATAAAATACAGCCAGTTAGCCAGCTAAGCAGAGACCGACACTAGAGAGAGTATCAGTTACATCACCTGAACCTCCTCCTGCTGGGGACCTCTAACACAAATCTGCACTGATGGAGTCACTGGAAGCCAACAATTGCATTGTGTGAAACCCAAGAGGGGCCCCCGCTTGCAAATTATCACGGCACCCCCAACCCCCCGCCCCCTTCACCATTCACACACATATGCCCAGACATACTCCCACACACCTACACAGCACACGCTTGTCCACATGCGCTGCTCCCTGCCCCATGGAGACACACACACACACACACACACAGCTGGGCCAATTGTAAAGCAAACTCATCTGCTAGATCTGGCTCTGAGAATGCTAGTGCCTTACCTACAGTGAAGTTCACGAAAGCCAGTGCTAAGTCCAAGTAGTGGTCAGACTCTACCATAACACCATTGCCCCAAACAATAAGGTTGGTGAAGATGGCGTGCATCACGCCAAACCTGAGGAACATCAACACACAACATGACAGGATTAGCCAACCATACAAGCACACATGACGCCTGTCAGCTTTATAAGGATCAGTGACTAATGGAAAGACTAGATTCATAAATCATTCATAGCCTGCAAAAAGCTGTTAAAATAAATATGAAGAATAATCTTTATATGGCATAAGTAAAATACTTATACTAAACTTCTGTTCTGTTAGTCATTTTAACTTATTGTGCACATCAGCTGGAAACCTGGATCTTATCAAAGATCATAGCTTATTTCTGAAGACATCTTCATACCTTTCGAAAGTCTCTAAGCCCATGACGACATCACATACGTGAAACCAAAGGAAATAGATCTAAAACAAGATCAACTTCAAAACATGAAAAGTGCAAAGACATTTCAAAGTGATATCCCTTCATACATTCTTGCCTAGTCAATTTTGAGATGTTATATAGACATATAAGAGATTTAATGTCCAGATATTGGGATATAAGCGATGCATCTCACCCATGTATTGACAGGTGACAGGTGAATTTAAGCCTGTTTTATATTTCAAAGCTATCAGACAATCAGAAGCTTATTATAGGTCATGCAACTGTTTGATCCCACTAAACAAAGCATGTATTATTCTCAGTGGAAACCACCCTTTAACGAGCTTAAAGAAGGCACAGTTTACTGACAAATGGAAAGGCACTGCAGACTTTGATGCTTACCTGTGAAGCTGTGTGAAAAAATTTAACGAAGGCGAAGAGCCCAAATCGGGTGTCAAGGCAAACTCTGTGGCCGACGTAGTAACCGACTCGCAAAATATCCAAGCATAAGGAAAGCAGCGCCAGAACTGTTAAACCGGCTGGGGGGAACGACAAAAAGAAACACTTTTTTTTCCCTTTATTTTTTAGCTCGTTTTCAATCATAACGAACATTTCTGCTAAAGCGAGTCGCTTAACTTTTGACCGTGCTCATAGATGAGCAAGTGAATCAACAAGCAAAATTTCAAGTATTCAAGTTTATAAATGAAACAATTCAAATTGGTAAATAGGTAAAAAAAAAATGCATAGAGGAATTGCAAGAAATTCATTGCGGAGTATAAGTCTATGATTTAAGTAGAGTATGCCATCTCTTTTTTGTTGACTTTTATAGCGACTCGGTAAATTTTTGCCACAAGGTATTAAAGTATGGTTTTCATATCTGAAATGCAGTGTACATCGCATGTATTTTAATGTGTCCCGTCAGAGTTATTCTCAATGAGCCACACATTTTACACATGATTTTATGAGGTTCCTGGGCGTGATCGTACCTCTTATGTACCATGGGCCGGCGTGCACATCGATATCTTGCTCGACGCCTCTCTGGACTGTAACCCTTTTCAAGGCATACCATAACATCCAGAGAATCTGGATGATCATGACACCCGACATGAAGACCATGACGTGCTCCTCATGGATAGGGGTGCCCTCATGTGAGAAGGCTAGCATCAAGGAGGACCCCATTATGAACAGATTGAGGCCATACTGGGCGCTAAGCACCCGGGAGGTCCTCTCCGGGTAATCACTCCAGCCCTTAATAAACACATCTTTAACCTTGGCTGGACCAGGATGAACAGCGGGATCAGATGTGTACTTGTTCAGGGAGGTAATATCCATACCGTTGTGCTCTACCATTCCCCAGTAAAATCCAAGTAAAAACTACTTTAAGTTACTCTTTACAGCATAACTGAGGAAAATAAAGACTGCGGCACCTTCATATCAGGCTATATAAGTCCCAGGTCAGGAGGAAATGTTCGTTTTTTTTCTTTTTTCTTTTTCTTCCCGTTCCGATCTCAATAAAAAGGTCCAGACTAATGCTGATACAAATGTCCTGTTGTTTTCGTGTAACAATGAACTAAAATTACTTCATAGCCCGTGCCTTTATACCTCCTTGCTGAGTCACGGAGATTAGGCTGTATAGATAGGGTTTCAGTTGTCCTCTGTCCCAGTTCGCATCACTGGAGCCGCTATAGGTTTTCCTGAAATCGATGGATAAAATAAGCTCTTGCCTTAATCTTTAAAAAAAAGTTTTTTCCCTGATGAGATGAAAAACTAAATGTCAAGTTGACAAATCGGTGCACACAGATGCACACTGTCACGCATTTTAAAACATGCCATCCATGTCCATGATGCACTTCATGTATAGATTAGTGTGCAAACCTCAATAAACAACTGCCTGATCTGCAAGTAACGCTCAGCCCCTCCGGCGTACACCTTTCAGAAAGACCCAATCAGGCTGCTATCCGGGCAATTATCCGGCCCGTTGATGCCTTCATCATAATCTGTTTACCTTTGTAAACACACCATCGAATACTGACAACCAGGCTCCTATTTCCAAATCTAAATACGCTGCTTTTTAAATGACACATAGACATATAAGCGACCGAAATGCGGGAAATGCGGGAGAGAATCGATCATTATTTGAATTTTATGTTATTTTTTATGCAATTGTATTATACTATTATTTTATTGTTATTCTATCATTAAGCGAATAATAGCGATTTCACTACAGTTTTGTGTATCGTAATAAAATGTACCAAAACGTACGGGTTTGTGGAAATGGTGGAAGAATGGATCGAGGAACTACAGGACAAATAAAAAATAGTATACTTAATTTTTTCGTTTTAATATGTATGGTTTTAACCTTGTCGTCAGTTACAATGCCAACGTGTGGCAAATTACAGACTGCAGCGTAATTTAGTGAAACTGATGCCGGTACACCTTCTCAATAGATCCCATTCTCTTTCACCTCCGGGAAAATGTGAACAAAATGAACAACCTAAACTCAGTCTATTGATTCCAGCCCAAGCCCGTCCATGTGTAATAACCAGTAGTTTCAGATGAAGTGTTTCAGTAAAATCTGTTGCATGAATTTAAAAAGTGTTTTTTTCCGAGGAAGGGAGTTCATAGTGCACATAACTTTTTATTTTTTAAGAAATCCCAGACTTAGTGACTTTTCAAATCCTTGTCACATCATTAATTCAGATTCAGTCTTCAGATGGGAGGGGGTAACATGCAATTAATCTAGGGACCCTGGCTTGAAAAGTTTTAAACTGCTCACCTGTCCCAGATAGCTGGCAGTTTTTGGTGGACAAGGACAAGTTCAATTTAATATCCAACTAAATGTGTTGTATCAATATTGCCTGATTGGTCAAACCAGAATATTTTTTTATGAGTTTAAGTGGTAGGCCTATAGAGGATGCTGGCTAACTTTTCTCCAGTCTTCTTGAACCAGATGACCTGCACCCAAAAGACAATTTATTGGTGTCTTACTGATACAACAGCAATGCAAAGACAGCATTTTCTGCATTACATCATTGCTGTTTGTAAAGTACATGTTAATTATTTATGAAGTAATTAGTTTTATTTTCAATTGCATCTGAATGACATGAAAATTACACACAAAAAGCTCTGAGCAGTGTATGAAGATAAATTTTAACAAAAAAATATAAAGAGCTAAGAAAATATCCTGAAATGCAAATGTGAGAAATTGGCTACGCACAGGATATTTATAAAATACAGATGTTTGCATGCAGGGATATAATACAAATACAATATTAGGTTTTTTAAAAAAAATTTTTTTAAGGATTACTACTGCATAAGTACGCAAATCTGTAATATATAATTCAATTTCTCAAAACTACTTATAGATTGCAAATGACTAAAATTAGTGTGAAAAGCTTTACTCATGAGTCATCTCATACTATACAAAAATCTGTGCCAAAAATAAAAAAAACTGTACACCTGAGCCCCAGATTTATAAGCAAATATAAAGCTATGAATGTAACTAAACAGAGAAAATGAGCAGCTCCAATTGCCATTGTATATGTGAAAACGATCATAGATCATACAAAAAGTTATTGAATTCAGCAACTAAGATCAAGTGAATGTGTTGTGCAAGGTTAAAATGTAACTGTCCTACAGGTTAGCCAAAGTTAAATCTTGACAATGGGGAGTTTGTCACTAAGGTCACGTAACGTGTGACTTTCTCATTTGTACAGGCTATTCATCAAGGTGACGCAGTGGAATAGCTGAAAAATCGCCATACAGAAACCCACGTTGAGATACAGCATGAGTAATGGTGGACAGCTTGGTAGGAAATCACATATGTTTAGTGTTTACTCCTGGGGTTGTTATAGTAACCTGCCATCAAATTACACCAAGCACTGTAATGAATCAACATTATCAGTGTCTTAATTAGCATGAAGTTGCTTAAACGTCCACAAGGTGGCTACTCCAAAATGTGGAGCATGATTTTTTCATTATGGTTTTGTCATGGCAATCTTGGAGCCCTTTCCAAAACTATGATACCTTCCGTTGAATGACAACACCTACAAACAAACAACATTGCTTGCACGACATTAGGTAATCCTATTCATGTACAGCAGGCTACACCCAATTCTGAGAAATGTACTGAACGTTATGCTTATGGAAATGTTGTGTTGAACGTTATTGCAATGATGTTAGGGCATTCATATTGTACTAGAAACAGCAGCAAAAACACAAAAAGCCACAGAGGCACACGCAGCACTGCTGCTTACAGCAAGCCTGTCTTTCATGGAAGCGCTGCAAGTAACTATCTGTTTTGGACAGCTATGCCTGCCCCAGAAATCTATACAGAAACATCCTACAAATCAATAGAAAAGTCAGGTCTTTTGAGTAGCAGATACAAAATAAGTGTGGCAGGTTAAACCAATACAGAATATACACATTTTTTTCAAGTTGATCTTGAGTTCAGTGGTATGTGCTTCTTCAGAAGAGCCCTGCGTAACAGAAGGACACAAGAGAAATAATTACATTTTATTTAAACAAAACAGTTATCTAGTTTCTTAAAAGGGCTACTGCTGCCTTTTCATGAAAAGGTAATTACAGTGTTTTATGCAGCTTGTATTGCACATATGAACAAGCTACAGACCCTTCTGGGATAGTGGTTATCAAACCTTTTTTAACCCTGTTAAATTATGATCTAGATGATATGATAAATCCCAGTTTACGGCATGGAACCTCATTAAATTGACATTGACTGGACCTCACATAATAGTAAGAATATTCAATCATTAGCATCAGTAAATCATTAAGATATGTAATTATTTTATGGGTGTTTAAACAATCTCTAAATTATGATGATGATCAACACATCATAATGATATTAAGAAGCAAAAGAACATGAAAGCACAGCAATAGCCACTTCATATAACATGACTGACTGAGGATCCAGACACTAAGCATTCAGCTTGCAATAGGCTTGGGCGGTATTTATTTTTTTATACCATCATACCTTCTAGACATTTGACCCTGGTCTACGATATATGCTGTTATTTAATTAAAAAAAAAAATTATGTAGGCTACTGTAAACTCCAGAACCAGAGAGCCTAAATGGACTCATCAGTGTGCAACTTGAGGGGCAGGGAAACAGGAAGACAACTCCTTGTTGAAGAGTTAAAAAGATCAGCCTTCACTTATTGACACCACTGTCACTGTGCGATCTGCAGCTGCATGCACACTTGGTGTCAGATATGCTGCTCATGCTCCAACAGTTTACAGTGCATTCACGGTGCGTTTTGTTTTTGTGGCATACAGTGTGTGTTATTCTGTCATTTTTTTTTTCTTCCCGTAATTAAGGGAGGCTCCAGTCACCACTAATGCTGTGCACTACAGTGCATTGCCTCAGTGCAGCATCTCTGCATCAGTTTAATAGACACATCAGCGTCTGTATTTTTCACATTATTAAAAGTAATACCTTTGGGACTTCTAAATACCAGGGTATACCATAATACCATCATACCGCTGTCCTCGCTGAGAGACTTGAGCAAGGTAACTCTAGTTGGATCACTAGACACATCCAGGTGGCTAAAGGGTAGAGGGCAACACGTGAGTTATGTCGACTGCTTTGGATAAAGGCACCTAATGAACAACTAGACCAAATACAAAAAAGAAACCATGCTGAAATCTGTTTATCAGCTTGTCATTAAACTGCTGAAGGTTCCTGGATTGGTTTACTTCTGAACCAACAGAACGGTTCACATCACCATGTCCTACAACAAAGATTGTCCATACCTTCATATCTCAGCCAAGTAGGGAGATGAACATCACAATTCCCATGAACTGGGTGAAGAGGATAATGGGAGTGCAGATTGACCACACGGGCCAAAGTGCTATATTGAAGCTGAAGGAGAGGCGACGGTAGTGTTAATTTAGGGGTCATAAAAATCATACGGGCCCTCCGCTAAGTGATTAATACTGGATTTTCAAAACTAAAACTAGAATTAGCAACAGTTATGGGCCTATTCAGAAAATTTATTCTTAAATTATACTTAATGCTCACACCTTCTTCTGATGTCTCCAAAAACACCCATAAACACCCCGAGCTTCCCCAGTGGTTCATCTATGTGCTGGGCCCACCCCCTGGGGTGAGCTCACCTGCAGGAGGAAGCGATGAAGGCGGCAGTGGTCACGGGTGCGATGGCTGGGTACTGAACGTCATACTGCCGGACCCCCCGGAACCAGTCGAGGTAGACGATGCTGAAGAGCGCCATTGCCAGGCTCACTCCCAGCAGGGCCACACCCACGCTGAACCACCAGCTGGCGGGGACAGAGACGGGCAGATGGGTGGACAGAGTGGCCACACAGTGGGGATGGAGATGGTGCAGACTGATGTCATGATAAAATGAATCTCCCCTTTCAGAGATGAATGATTAATGTTAAGAACATACAAAAACAATAGGGGTGACAGACTCCGCCTCCACCATGCGGCAACATCCGTGGGATTTCACTATGACAGCACATACATGGGCTCCATGCCACAGCAGCACTTTGCAGGTAGGTTAATTAAGAGAGGGATGATTACACTGTCCAGTAAGGCCAAAATGGGATCAGACCTAGGAAGGTGTCGGGGGTTAGCTAAAGCCGGACACGCACCTGTTTTGAAACAAATTGAATCATTTATGGCAAGATTTGCTTTTTCCCTGCATGCTGAACATAGAACAAAGGTCAGATATTGAGACAAGACTTGTGGGAAAAACCATGAATCAAGGCGGCTGATTCACAATTACCATGAAAATATGACCTACTACCCACTGAACTTCACAGTGTTTCATTAGCAAAACATTACCCTGCTTAATTACCCAGCACAGAATGGTAGCCACATTTATTTAATCCTCAGAACACGTCTCCAAGAAGAGCATGACGACACTGACAACTTCTTAAAAGGGCAACACTGTTTCCCCCATGACAGTGCAATGAAGGAGGAAGTTCAGAACCTTGCTTCATTATCATATTCCTTCTCAAGCTTACAAGACAAGTGTTTATGAAGCATGACGCAACAATTTTACCTTTTAATGTTCTCGTCTTTCATAAGGACAGAGAAGAAATCAGTGTAGTAAGTCAGCCCGATGGAAGCCACAATCCAGAAGATGGAGTGACGGTTAAAGCGAGGGAGAGGTTTTGCATCTTTGTCCTCCGGACCTGAAAGACACAGCACACTTTTATTCTTAAGTCTGGCCATCTCTCATGGGTAATAAACAGAATAGCATGTCGGAGGGTGAATTCCCTCAAACTCCATTCACTTCTGGTATCAGCCAATCAATGAACTATTAATCACCAATGAATAACACAGCCTGACTGCTTGCATCCCAAAAAGTGCAAAATGGGGGGGGGACCTCCATACAGTCCATGTTTTTCCTCCCTCTTAGTTCCCTACTGGGAGGGCAGTCCCCCAAGGACCAGTTTGAAAACCAGTGTATTAAACATATGGGTGTAACTTTGTGCGGAGGCATCAAATCGACCTCATTTCCGTGCACTAATGTGGCGATGGCAACGGAAGTTTCCGGAAACATGGTGAGGCTCGCTGTGCTTGGGGGCATAAAAAGGCACTAATTGCAGATGTTAGAACAGAATTCCCGGCGATGTTCAGGCTCCATTTGTCATCTTAGCAGTAGCTACAGGGCTCAGGACACTGACAATGTCAGACAAAGTCAGCTTCTGCGAAAAGGCCGACAAGACAAACTTCATCTGCTGTGCCATCTTCCGTTAACATGAAACAGTGACAAGTTCCAGCCACACCCTCAAAACCCATTCCAGGAAGCAGTTACAAAATTCAGTGTATCCTGTGACAGCCAACGATGGCCGAATTGAAAAACAGCTGCAGGCCGGCAATGTGCCAACACTCAACCGAACCATTAGATGGTCAGGGCAATGCAGGCCAGGCAGAACAATCAGCAGTATGGCACTGTGCCAAATTCTGCCCTCAAAGAACAACCAAGCACTATCTACACCAACAGAGAGCCATTTAATGGCCTCACACACTCTAACTTACCGGTACCAGCTTAACACTTGCATATATAAGAAACCATTCAAGGAAACAAACATGTCTCATAGCTTTTTATTATGGCATGCAATGAATATATTGTTGGAGCTTTGCAGCCACTTTACTCTGTCACTAGAAACTTAATTCTGGGTGTTCCAATTATATTAGAGCCACAAACTGTGACTGACATAAATTGAAGACAAACATGAATTTTTGCAATGTAATACAACTTAGGACCGTATTGGGCTAGATACTGGAAGAGTACGGGGGGAAGATCTCCAAGGTGATGTCAATCTGGAGAAACGGCTGCTGCACAAAGTACTCATATTATGTGTTTTATGATTCCTGTAGGGCAAGGAGGAGCCTTGGAGACTGAGAATGCCTGATGTTAGCACACGTGAGTCAAGCCTACTGACAAGCCGTTTGTGAAGCACACGGATGAAGGAACCCGTGTCCAGACCTCAAGCCCCAAAAACATTTGTTTGGAAAGCCACCTAGGAAGGCTCTCTGAACTGGCACGAATAGGAGGACATCAATAGTGCCAGCTTCCTGAAAAGCAAGCAGCTTCAGTCCATCACAAATCACTTCTACACTGCTTTGAAATGGGACCCAGAACCCTTAGTTAGTTAATTTTCTTGGCATAGTAAGGGTGCATTACAATTGGTTATTGAAAGTGACATCTGAACCAAAAATCAGGTCTTGCACGCTGGAGATTAAAGAGACTAGTTAAATTACTTACCACGCCAAATAACGCTGAAAATTATTACTAATTTGCAATTGCTTGGCAATAAAATGGCTATTATAGTGCAGTGAACACAACTGCAGCATGGTAATTAGGCCACCGAAAAGCCACAAATCACCATTGCAAGGTACTTTATCAGAACTGGCTATGAGTTTGTATTGCAAGCCAGTTGGGCAGGGAGAAAAATAGATTAGATACATAAACTTAATCGAGTTTCCTCTAACCAGACACCAGTGGCCCGTCCTACGAAACGGGGTTACTGGCTTATCGGGGTAACTTGTCGGATTTAAGGTAGTCTGGGCAAAATGTAAGTGAACGAATATGAAGTCCATTTAAACTGTGGTACCTTAAATCCGACAAGTTACCCCGATAAGCCAGTAACCTCGCTTCGTAGTACAGGCCACTGGAATTTAACTTTTAGTAAACATTTAGCGGTTTAGCAGTCTGTGTTATTTTTTTATATTTGAATGAATATTAATTTCTGTGTTGATACGGAGGGTTTTCCAACCAACATATAATAGGCTCACACTTACTCTTCTCTCCAGTGTCATTTTCAGAAACCCCGCGCAAAACAAACTCTGCATCTTTTTTGAAACGATTCCGAAGACTTTGCAGCTCGCTGTTTGCTAACGCGTCCGCCATGTTGCTTGTGAAAGACGCCGACTTCCGGCTTCCTGTTGAACGCCGTTGCGCGGTAACCTTAAAGTTATATCACGCGAATTACAAGAGTGCGTTTACTCTACTGTTGGGGGAGGCATCCCCCACCCCACCCCACACCTAGGAGCAACGAGTGTTGGAAATGGTTTTATAAATATGAGAAAGGTGTTATAAAATACAAACAGAAATAACTAGTAGATTTTCTTTATTTTTTGTAGTATTAAACTTGTGTGTGTGTGTGTGCATGGGTCAACAGCAAGGCACTCCATTTAGTGTAACTAACTTTCTTAGAGTCAATGAGCACCGAGTGACAGAATATGAGTTGCGTAATGAGCGGTCAGTGGGTGAGCTCACAACCAGAGGCAATGAGGGTGAAAAGATTGACGCAGGAAAAGACAGATGCCAAGTAGAGAGGAACGGGACAAGTTCATGTACGTAAGACCTGTGAGGCAACTGTGGAAATACATGGTATTCTGTCTCTCAGTGTTTATCTACCGTGAGACCACAGCTCAAGTTCAGCTTTATACTACAGGAACAGTTTGTTACTCATACATATCCATACACTCATGTTATGTTCCATTTGTATAATTCAAGGTGTCATTAGTATCACCTCAAAATGCTGCATTTATAAATTTTAAACTTGAGATGTTGTTGCCATCACCGAGGTCTATATTTTGCCATTTAGCCTGATACATCACTGGCACTGTAATATTTTATTATATAAACCAAATCCTGTTTTTGCTGCCATTTCTAGGCTTTTAATTCTTAGTAAGTTGTATTGTTACCCATTGCCCATTCATGCATCTTCCAGCTGCTTATCCTGTAGAGCAGGGGTCACCCACATGGTGCCCGCGGGCACCAGGATGCCCCCAAGGACCACATGAGTCGCTCACGGACCTGTTCTAAAAATAGCACACCTCACCAGTGAGCAGCGTCTAAAATTTTATTTTATCCTGTTGCTATTCTTCTTTAATCACATTTGCATTTATATAGATTTGAAAATGACAATATCTTTTAAAAAAGCATTTAAAACATGTTTATTATACATGATTTAAGAAGAGTGTATCAAACTGGTAGCCCTTGGTATGGCTCAGTACCCGTGAAGTAGCTCTCAGTGTCCAAAAGGTTGGTGACCCCTGGTGTAGAAGGGTCACGGTAGGAGCACAGGGTAAAACGGAAGGATATGTGCCGGGTGTCGTCACAGGAGGACACCTGCATGCAGGGGCATTGCTATGCCCTATGAAGGCATATCATATTGGACCCCCAGTCCAGACCAATCCAGTTATTTTCCAATCCAATCCAGTTATTTATTGGAATCGTCCTAACTTTCCCCTGCTTTATGGTGCCCCTGCTTGTATTACATGCGGCAACAGTGCTACCCACCAGCCAACATACCTCCCTGCAATAATAATTTATTTAAAGGGCCGTTTTATAATAGAGATGAACAGACTGTCACATTTCTGAAAGAGACAGTGAGGGGTTCAGAGCACTGTTGCCAGGCTAAATATGACAGTTCCAGGATGGCTGTGTATTGCAAATTCCCTGTGAGTTTCCTAGAAAGCGGAGTAGATAAGTGAGTGCTGTCCCGTCCTGCGTTTGGCTGCGATCCCATCTCGCTCCATCCCGCTGATTTAGGGTCACTGTGTTTGAAGTAGCCACTGCAAAAGCAATGAACACCCAGAGTGAAAAAGGAACCCAGAATGCAGCGAGCAAGCATGCCAAGAAAGGTTTGATAAAGGCTGGTATTGCTGTAGGCCATGTTCGGACATTGGTGGGGGGGGGGGGGGGGGGGCTAGTATTTCCATAACCCGTGGGCCAAATTCTG